ATCTTGTCCATGAGATCCTCAGTGTTGCGGAGATGTGCGTCACTGATCGTGCCCAACGTGCTTGAAAGAGGCCTGGCCAAGACCTTCGCGAGTCGGTGTGGAGCACTGCCGATCCCTGACGTTATCGGTCGCATCGGAACATTCGTTTTGTGTAGCTTCGGGAGACCGCGCATTCGTGGTGCAGCAGGCGCCTCTTCTAGCAGATGGAGAAGATTTTTCCCTTTTTCGGATTTCTTGAGTACCTGTCTTGCTTCTTGATTGAACTTCTTACTAATTTTGTCCGTGTATCCCGAAGGTTTCTTTTCGTATGTTTCAGTGTCTTGGAGTAGGTCATTCATTTTCTTTGTGTAGTCATCAATGTCCATAATCACCAATCCACCTCCCTTATCTGCCTGGGTGACAATCACGGACGAATCCTTGGCTAATCTTCTCAACGCTTCCATGTATCTCCTTGGCAACTTATCAGCCTCCTTATCAGCCTCCTTATCAGCTAGATTAGTAGCGAATATGTCATATGCATTAATTTTTAAAATCAAGACGATTGCACTGTGACGAGCTCGAATGTTTGTGTGCTATATCTTGTTTTCTCTGTGATTATGTCATGCTGATGAAGATTTAATAATCGAAACGCGTCCATGCACTATTTGTTCCGTGTTTTTCTACTTGTCTCCATCAATATACATTTGTCTGACATGAACACCGGAACAAATAACGCAGAAAAGCATGAATATCTCACAAAAAGAAAGCTCTCAAGCAGTTTCAATCGTCTTAAATTTCTGAATGATTGCATTCTAGAGCAAGTATTGCCGAAATCGGCTCCTCAACAACTTAAGAGTAAAGATCATCCATTTAGCACAACTGCCCGTAGCTTTTTAGAAGAAGCGTGCTCAGAGATAAGGGACAAGATATACATTCTACGAGATGAATTGAAAGGAGTGCCGATATCGACTGAGCTACGAACGAAACTGAAGAACCTCAACGACAAACAGCAGACGAAACTCAAACGAAAACTGAAGACTTTGTGCGACAACAGCCCATGGAAGGAAGCTGGAAATGTAGAAATCGTCACGAACCTATCATCACGAGCACTGAATGACAACGAAAAAGAAGCACTAGCCCTCGGAGTAAAGTTTGATACGGGGAAGGACAAAAATCAATATGTGGATCATGTTCGTCGCAACACTAGATGGAACGATGAAGATGTAGAAAAGGGTTTTATTCAAGGCGTGCTGTTATGCTGTAAAGCTCTAGCTGATAAGGAGGCTGATAAGTTGCCAAGGAGATACATGGAAGCGTTGAGAAGATTAGCCAAGGATTCGTCCGTGATTGTCACCCAGGCAGATAAGGGAGGTGGATTGGTGATTATGGACATTGATGACTACACAAAGAAAATGAATGACCTACTCCAAGACACTGAAACATACGAAAAGAAACCTTCGGGATACACGGACAAAATTAGTAAGAAGTTCAATCAAGAAGCAAGACAGGTACTCAAGAAATCCGAAAAAGGGAAAAATCTTCTCCATCTGCTAGAAGAGGCGCCTGCTGCACCACGAATGCGCGGTCTCCCGAAGCTACACAAAACGAATGTTCCGATGCGACCGATAACGTCAGGGATCGGCAGTGCTCCACACCGACTCGCGAAGGTCTTGGCCAGGCCTCTTTCAAGCACGTTGGGCACGATCAGTGACGCACATCTCCGCAACACTGAGGATCTCATGGACAAGATCAAGGACATGGACTTATCAGATAAGTTCCTGGCTAGTTTCGATGTGAAGTCTTTGTTTACCAACGTTTCGGTAGACGGTGCGTTAGAGGCGATCAAATCTGTAGTAGCGAATATGGACTCCGAACAGTTACCTGTGCCAAAAGATGACTATTTGAAATTACTTGCAATGTGCCTTAACTTTGGGGGATTTCAATTTCAGTCTGATGAGTATAGTCAACATAGGGGACTAGCCATGGGGTCACCACTGAGTCCGGTGGCGGCATGTTTGTACATGGAGTGGCTCGAAAAGCACCATTATCAGGGCATCATGGGCAGTAGCGTAATTTGGTTGCGTTATGTTGATGATATCCTCGTAGTAGTGCCAAAAGAAACGAACTTAGAGGACAAACTTGATAGACTTAACTCGGTAGAGGAAAAGATTCAGTTTACACTTGAGAAAGAAAGCAACGGGACGATTGCATTTCTTGATACTGTGATCATACGTGGGAGTCAGCCAAAATTTAAAGTGTATCGAAAGCCTACAAACAAAGAGTCTTACGTACATTTCTATTCTGGACACAATGATCGGGTTAAAAGTGGGATTGTTTTGGGGTTTTTCCTTAGAGCGTATCGCATTTGTAGTGAAGAGTTTATAGATGAAGAGATTCAGTACATCATGGCATCGTTCACGAAGTTAAAGTACCCCAAAGGATTTCTAGTCAACTTGAAAAGAAAAGCTATCAATATTCGAAAGCGAAGCGCGACAACAAAGACGAAGAAAACCGAACGATATATAACACTTCCCAATTCGAAACCAGCCGAGATGATAGCGAAACAGATTGAAATGACTGGATTTAAAATCGCTTTCTCTTCGGGAACAAAGGTAGGGGATATACTAAAAACCACACAAAAAGAAATGGAGAAGAAAAAAGTTTAGTGTATAAGATTCCTTGTGGTTCTTGTGACAAATCATATATAGGGGAAACCGGGAGGGGCTTAGACGTTAGATTAAAGGAACATAAGCGGGACATGCGGAACAACGCAGAACATAGCGCGGTAGTAATTCATGCTCAGAAAACACATCATTTACCAAGATGGGGCGGGGCGGAAATTATAGCATTATGTAAAAACAAAGACAATCGGAAGGCGACAGAGGCGGCATTTATAGCAATGAACGAAACGATTAATATTAGGGTGGGTTCGATGAAATGGGCAAAACCAGCGGCGATGTATAGTTTGAAGAAGACACGTCATTAGTTTGTATAAGTACCTACTTGTTCATGATCGTTCTGTACAAATTTGTTGTTATCCATGTGTCATATGTATGTCAGTGATCTATTTTGCTATCATTTTTCGTGGATATTCTCCTACAGGTGGATTAGTAGCGAATATGTCATATGCATTAATTTTTAAAATCAAGACGATTGCACTGTGACGAGCTCGAATGTTTGTGTGCTATATCTTGTTTTCTCTGTGATTATGTCATGCTGATGAAGATTTAATAATCGAAACGCGTCCATGCACTATTTGTTCCGTGTTTTTCTACTTGCACAGGCTGTTGATGTGCGCAGCGCCTGTGGCAGCAGCAGCACTCACAGTCCTGTTAACAATTGCTCAACTACCCCAGAGCCTATTTTAAGGGAATTTGACTGGGGGGGGCAACCTGGAAAATTGTCTTTAATAATCCATTAACCCTCGCCCGTATTGGTGTTTCCAGTAGCGAGCGTATAGGGGGGGGGGGGGGGTCCGTTGGACCCTCCCCCTTGCCGTTTCGCCCCTGATCGAGCTAGAGCTTCGCGGAAAAAACGACCGTGTTGCCCGTGATGAAAGGAAGCCGATTATACCCAATTTTAAGGTCCTAGGTCATCGGTTGACCTTCCAGGTCCGGTCATTGACCCAAAAGTCGGGAAAATCGGGACCTGTTAAAGCGTCGTAAAGAGTGGCTGCTATGGTTTTTCGGGGTGCTGATCACGAATATCATGTTAATTATGATCATAGATGATGTCTTCATGCATTTAGGCCAGGTCAGGTCAGGTCAGGTCAACCAGTAAGGGTTTTGCCGGGTATTCGTAGTAGGTGGCAACCGCCTCTGACAGCTTCGTAACATGTTACGAAGGAACCAAAACTACTTCGTAAATGGTCAAATGGTTGCTTAATTCGAATTCAGCTCCAAAAACTAGCCTGGAAACATATACAACTCGAAAATGTGAACCGAGGTCATCAAAGGTAAATGATCTGACCTGACCTTCCGGTGATCTTGACACCCACCCTAATGCATGGGAGCAACATCATATCCCATGTTTGAACGTTTGAAACCACGAAAAGACTGCAAACGCGCGGCTAATGCGAGGCGACATACGCCGAATCGCGACCTCGGCCAAACATAGTGCCATGGTGGTAGGCCGCCGGTGCATCTGAAAGAACTGTGGTGCCCCTGACAAGCCTGAAGTTCCAACGACAGGCCCGTGGTGCCCCTGACAGGCCCATGATGCCTTTGCGAGGCCGGTGGTGTCCACGTGAGGCCGGTGGTGCCCCTGGGCCCTGACAGGACTGTGGTGCTCCTGACAAGCCTGGAGTGTCCCCGACAGGTCCGTGGCGCCCTTGCTAGGCCTATGGTGCCTCTGGCAGGCCTATGGTGCCCCTGGCGGGCCTGTGGTGGTACCCCTGACAGGCCCAAGGTGGTGCCCCTGCGAGGCCGGTGGGGCCCCTGGCAGGTCTGCGCACTGAAAATAAATTCACACCCGCTCCTGGTGTTTACACCTTTTTAGGAAATGTTTACACCCCACCGTTTTTGAGCACCTGCACCGGTGTAGTTTCAACACCAAGTTTTGGTGTAAGCATACACTGAATCCTGGTGTAACACCAGGCACATACACTGGCGTATGGTGTTAAATCACTGTAAGTACACCAGTTTGTGGTGCTACACCACGTCTTTACACCATAAAAAGGTGCTACACCATTAATTTGCACCTTCTTTACGGGTACAAAACAAATACCTTTACACCAATGTGTGGTGTTAGCAGCCAATTGGGTACACCCCCTTCCGGTGTTGTGAAGGAGATACACCGGTGTTTGGTGTAGCTGCATCTCGATGAATTAATATATATATATATATATATATATATATATATATATATATATATATATATATATATATATATATACTTATACGTGTGCATGCGTCTGTGTGAACATATGTGACAAGTCCATATGCGTATACTGTCGCTTGCCATAGACCCCATACAAAGCAAAGCATTCCTTAAATAAAGACAATTTATTTTGTAGCGTCCGAGACGAGCAATAAACAAATGTTATTAACAAAAATTGCGGCAACTGTGAGTGGCGCTTTCTCAAGTGCACGGGTGGTCACCGGACTCTGTTTTTTCTAAACAATCTTGGTATGATAACCAAAGCACTATGGTAAAGAGACTCCGCGCCGCCTGGAGCCCTAACTCACAAGTCACAATGAACAGGAAAGCAGGCTCATGAACTCAACTGAACGTCATCTTTTTGTCACCTACTTAGTTGGAGCAGTCAGCCTACTCCAGGCAGCTCGGAGCCTCTTTGGCATGGAGCCTATCTCATCCGCCCTCAGCACATGAACGTTCATGAGGGTGGCCGTACACTGGCATGCCGTGAATGTCATTTTCTGTGACAGGACGGAGAAAACGATTCCCCACAGGAGCAGTTTGTCCTGGCTGCTTAGCCCGTTCGTCTTCACGACCTCCGTTTTTTTCCACACACAGGTTCTCGCCCACAATACAAGGCCACGCCTCCATGTTTGTTGGGAACACCGCGTCGTCCTCACCCAGCAGCGACAGCAGAGCTGACACAGTATCATCTGCAAGGGAAATGCACTGACTTAGCTTGCGCTCCGCAAAAAATATTTTTCAACATTCAGCAGTCAGTACCTTATCGCTTTGAGAAACGTGTAGAATGAACTCACCTCCACAGCCGGTCTCCAACTTCAAGCGGTCCAACACGTCTCGGAGACGCTGTGCGCCAGTCGGCTTTGACATCTCCTTCCCAGCCTGTCAGTCTACCGAACTCTTTCCACATCTGCAACAGATAGTGCACATTTACTAAAATGGTCATCAGAGGTCATCAAAACTCAAAATTTGCCATTGTCATATTTTAGAAAACATGCCGTTATCCCAGGAACTATGATACTACAAAAACGCATGGAAAAGCAATCGATAGCTTTGAACTTTTCTTTTGATAAGGTCATCATCAAAATTGACCTCAGGTCAACATTTTAGCCTCCAGAGGGCAAAAACTCGAAAAATAGCTGTTTTTACGAAAAGTATTTTTTTCGACAATAACTTTTGACTTAAAAAAGCCACGACATTTCTATTGCCAGGATTGTGTTCCTCTCGCCGAGACGCGTCGAATGAACTATAATTTGACCTTAAAAGGTCAACTTGAAAATTTGACCCCAGGTCAAGGTCATGACCTGACCGGGAAAGATCATGTTGCATATCAGTCGATGCGTCTCAACAAGACAAACACAATAAGGCCATCCCCAACGTTCTATCTCTTTCCAATCGAGAGTTATTGGCAAAAATCTGTTTGTAGCCTCAAATGATCTCGGATGACCTTTCTAGAGGGTATCAGCAAAAAGGACACCTTGGTCGTCACGGGTGGTCCAAATCATTGTGATTCTGAAACATTTAAACTGTTGCTACGCGTACACACGGATCTAGAGGCATTTTCATTTGTCTCCATTGACTTATAATGGTAAGGTCACGCCACTGGCCTGACCTTAGGTCACGGATATAAAAAATCCGAGATATACACATTATAGGCGCCTATAACATCATGCAATCCACCAAGTTTAAAACCTCTCTGCCAAACACTGCAGGCTGGACATGATTGCAAACTTGTTTTTAGGCTTGGTCAGTTTACTTGACCTGGTGACCTGACCTGACATGACCTGGGGCCCAAAATTTTACACATTGTCCAGAATTGATGTACAGAAAGCTACTTTAAGTGGCGCGGCCCACGGTTTTTTATTCACACGCAAAAAAAACGCGACAGGGTGGTAACATATGCCCCCCCCCCCACTGGGGTGAAGGTTAAACATCGAAACTATGTAGTGGATGCTGATCCAAGGTGATAAAAATTTCATGCATTATAGTTAGATTTCGATTCAGGCCACGTTTCTTTTACCCTTTTGTCCCTTTCACGCATTGCTGCAAAATGTCGGGAATTTACTTTTACATTTTGATACTTCTGCGGTTTAATTTTGGCTACACGATTAAAAATAAATGCTTTTGAAACGTGCGAAGCAAAAGAAATATGCATAATGCCTCTGCGGATGAACATCCTACAAACGTGAAGTCGGTACCGATTTCACGTTTGTAGGATGTTTATCCAAGATGTTTGGTCGATATAAGTGAAAATAACTACCATAGGCGCGGGAGCCGGGGGGCAGTGGGGGCAGCTTGCCCCCCCAACTCTAGGGCCGTGGGGGCGGTGCCCCCACAACTTTGAGACGAAATACTGCACTTTTTTGCAAATGTTTTTCTTTTTTGTTGAAAAAGCCAAGGGATGAAAAATAAGTGGCCTAAAACCGGTGAGAAAACTAGATTTGGGGGTACCCTAGGTTCATCTCCATTATGGTGTGCCCCCCAGTCTGAAAGTAGTTCCCGCGCCTATGATAACTACATACCTTCATCCTACCACGCAGCGTGCAGGGGGGTGTACGTACGTTGGGATCGGTACTTCAATATACTATCTCTGCACCTTCAAGTACCTATCTCACGACTATGATGCACATTCTATGCTACTGGGATCATGAGCATGGTTGAATTAATTCATATTTAAGAATACAAACGTATCGCATTGCACCTACTTAGTATCGAGGCTTCAACATACCAGGCAGCGATTCCAGAATTCTGACTTAAAACAATATAACATCAATTCGGCACAGCAATTAACGAAGTAATCAGACACTAACTTAATATCACAAAATCATACCTGTGATGATCCCGCGGCAGGCTCCATCTTCATCTCACACCACCTCCAGTCTCCACACATCCCCGCATCACTCGTTTCAAACTGAAGCGCGAATCAACACGCCGCGCCGCCGTTCATTTGAATTTACGCATGTGCACGCGCAACCGCTCGCGCTGGCCGGCGGCCGGCTGACCTTGAATCCAAGGCCATATCTGATCCATGGTAACGGTGCTAGTAACACCGTTTAGAGACCAATGAACTGGGAGCTACACCATTGTGTGGCGTTTGCGATATAACGTCTCTGTCACGGGGTGTTGACACCAAATGGTGGTGTTATTTATCCGTAGCGTCGGTTGGTCTGAGGTGGCATTGGTGTTAATTGTCGGTGTTGATTTTGAACACCGAGTAATTGCACCATTCTTCGGCGTTACACCCCACAGTTACACAGTTGAGTTGTGTTACACCCTACCAAAACGCCTTTCATTGGTGCTTATTTTCGTGTCACCGGCACGCGAGTGTAAATTTATTTTCAGTGCGGTGCCCCTGGCAGACCTATGGTGCTCTTGCTAGGTTGATGGTGCTCCCAACAGGCCTGTGGTGCCCCTGACAGGCCGGTGGTGCCCCTGTCAGGCCTGTGGTGTCCCCGGGCCCCAAGAGGGTGGGGGGTCATGACCCATATGACCCACCCTTAGATACACCACTGGTCATTACTTACAGACTGACTCATTTGACATCCATTGCAAAACAAGTCACAGTAGTTACGTAGTATGTTTGTCACCCTGTTCCTTTATGCCCATTTTTATAGTGGGCAAATCTCGACGACTAGGGGGCAATTCTGTTGAGTGCGGGGGCATTTGCCCCCCCCCCCCCAGTTAACATGTTAAAATAGGCCCTGAACTACCCTTATATATTACTGACCGGGCCGACGAAATTATTTGGAAACGAGGTTTGCAAAATTGACGTAGGCCCGAGTGCGAAGCACGAGGGCCGGAGTCAAATTTTGCAAACCGAGTTTCCAAATACTTTCGTACGGCTGAGGTCAGTAAGATTTTTCCTACATGCCGCATACCTGGTAAGTAGTTTCGACAGGTTTTGGCAAGGCCCTAAAACATGGCAAGGCCATAAAACAAACATGTCACCAAACATAGGGTTTTGGTGACACTTTTATACATAATTATTATGTTGTTATTATGTTTTGTCCATAATTTTCGAATATTGATTGCGCTACAGCGGTGGATAAAGCTTTAAAGGAAATTTATAGAAGAAAATGCATCAAAATACCTCACTTCAAAAAGAATCGCGTCTGAAAATATCAACTCAGAATGGCACAACAATTGTATATCCAAGGAACATCATACATGAATAATTTGCCACGACATAAGAACAAGAAGAACTCAAAGAAGGTAGAAGGTATGATATTCCTAGTGATTAAATGTGAATTTTCCAGTGCTCTTGCAAGAATCTTTCCTTTATTTATGTAATCGTACTTTGTTGATGACCTATGGCTAAACTTTCGTGAAATACATTATATTTTCCATATTTTACATGTTTGTTTTTAGGAAAGGACTACAACTGTCAAATAATAACGCAATAACTTACGCCCAAGGTATCCTAGTGGACATATCAAACGAAGATAAGAAACAAGCGATAACGGATTTCGATTAATAGAAGCATATCTTGCCATAATTTCGGCTTTGTAACCAATACAAAGTATTTCAAACCCCTTGATAAGCAGAGCAGATATTTTTTAAACAAAAAATGTTGGTTTTCTAATTTTACGCGGCAAATATCATGCAATAATGATGTAATTATACATTCCCTATCAATTATACCTCTGTGCTAATGCGATAAACTGTAGTTTAGAGGTCATTGCCCTGGGCAGTAAACCCGGGCAGTAAACTTTTGTTTCCTGCCCGGCCTATCAAATAACATGGCATTTTGACACCGACAGTTTCTTGATCCTAGTTTTACTGCCCGGCTCGTGCTGTGCTTAAGACATACCCCGGCATGTAGGAATATCCTTTCCGTCACCAGCCCCCGTTCACGAGCTTCAGAATTCCTTTACCGTGACGTCATCACGGCGCATGAATTTTCCTTCACCCATAGAAATGCATGCAAAGCATGGTGTGTTTCAGGCGGGCTAAGGAGAAATCTAAGGCCTACATGTGTTCAAAAGACGTACCACTAAGCCAATGGATTCGTCTCATTACGATAAATGGGGTTGAAATCGAAACATTCGGCCTATATTTATCTAAAATGGGCCAATCAAATGGTCCCTGCAACTCATAATGAAGGATTTCCTCTGTGTTGAAAAATTTGTTTCAAGTGTTTTTTCATCAACGACAAGGGAAATCCTTCATAATTGCTACCAGATTACTACCATATTCCCTCGCATTTCTGTTGCGCATTGCCTCACAAATCAGAGTTTTGTGAAGTTTATATTAATTTAATTGTCATATTTTGACTGGTTTTGGCGATTTTCAATTATTTCAACGCAGCATGGATCAGATAGCTCTCATAGTTTGCTGAAGAATGTGGCTTTTGCTGGGTTATTTTCAAGTTATCTGTGATTTGGTGCGCCGTGATCGTAGCATTATACAAATTAAATCAACTTTAAAAATTGAATCAACTTTTGAAGTGAAGTTCACATGAAAAATCAAAAGTTCAAGCATAATAATTGTTTAAACATAATGATGCAACATGTGTCTCCCAGATGGAACTTGTATTTCAATTGAAAACTGAAAATGGAAAACAGAAGATGGATCTGCGGAGTTACTGAGATCACAAGGTGCTCTTGATTGTTCGTAATTGAAGATGTTGAGAGAACTTGTGAATCTGCATACCAGTCCTGACTTGCTTGATTGTTTAAAACTATTTTAATTCTCATAATTGTGTAATGTGTAGTGACTGTGCACACTGCGCAGCACATGTGCGCAGAAATGTGCAGGTGGCTGGTAGGTGGGTTAAACTTTGGAGATGCGAATTTGGATGTCAGTTATAAAATTAATGGTTATGCCTTGTAGAGTTAAGCTCTGCTGTTTTTTTGTAATTGTCTTTGTTATAATTGTAACCTACAATGATGTTAGTTTCATTTTTATTAAAATGCTCGACCAGAATTTGCACTTGTTCATGCATGAATGGCTAAGTTTGGGGTGTTTATTCAACCCTGACTGCTCAAGTTTTTCAAAGGCACATGACACAGCACGGCTAGATCAGCTGGTACCTACCTGTTGACTATTTTTGTTTTTGGTGATGATGTGTTTGCTGTTTGTCTTTTGCAAGGTGGTCAATGAAATAAAATAATGCATTATTTTGGAATGTTTCCTTGACAGAAGCCAGGAGCCGGATTGATGTGTGCTGGTGAATGAGATGGTTCAAAAGCATTATCTGATGTTTTTCAATGTGCATAAGCCATAATTTCCCTTTCATATGCTGAAGTTTTAATAGCTTCTCAGTCTCTGTCATTTTCCTGAAATATTGGTGTAGATAAGAGATATCAGTACCTTGTCAGAGGTACCTGCCTTCTGCTGGATGAATATTTAATTGGTTGGACGAAATGGACAGGTAGCCTTATGATAATGTAATGTGAAATCTTATTTCTATAAAACTTTGAAAATGAAGTTCTAATTATTCATATGTGCATACATTTTTGATGACTAAGAAAGTTTTCCACAAGAGTAGGAAATGTGGGAAAGTCTATCAAATAACACATTCTGAAGGCTCAATGCTGACAGAGTGCTGCCTCAAAGAATAACTGACTTGCTGGGTTACGAATATTTCCTTATTTTAATTTTCAAATGTAATGTACAATACATTGCAGTGAAATAACAAAATAGTGCAGTAAAATAGTATTGGCGACGATCAAACAACACGTGCGCCATTGATGTCTGCAAAAATTGCTACCAGATTGCTACCAAATCCGTGACGTAGCTACGGCGCCTTTATTTCCCTAGTGAACCAACCTGAGTAGTAAAGTAATCTTGTCCGTCACATTCCATAGTAATTTGTCTCATATCCTTCATAATCACCTCGGCAGAATAGCCACAGCACCTACTTGTGGAGTCGTTGTATGTCTAAATAAAATTATGGCCAATTACATAGGAGCAAGCAAACTGGCATCTGCTATGCAACGTTAAATTCACACCAGATAGGTAAGAAAGAAAACAAAGATGTAGAAGATGATAGCAAAGATAACTAAAACAAAAAGATAGACGAAAAGCAAAGCCTGCATGTGATATGCAATGCAAAAATATTAGCAAACCATTCTTATGTACCATTCCTTTGAACTATGCGCAATGCGCATGCTTACCTATTAATAAACAATGCCTGCTGGCTATGAACCGCTTTCACAGCGGTTATCTGGCACACATTTGGTCACATTTGATGCGATCTGGTCAAATAAGGCTCACATTTGATTCTTAGTAGTCTTCGTCCTAGTCTTTTGCACTAGTTCCTTATACCTATGTCTGATTTACCAAATTATCAGATAGTGCTCAAGTTGATAATAGTCGTTTTCACGACGGGCTATCTTACGAATGTACCTAATTTGACCAAATCTGCATCAGTGGCGGCGGAAGACCTTCAAGGGCATTGCAGACTTTTGGTCCCATTTTTCCATGCAACGTCCATAGGGATAATGTTAAAATGACAAAATCAAAGGGGGAGGCCAGGTGCCCCGGTGCCCCCCCCCCCCCTCCCGTTCCGCCACCCATGATCTGCACCTACTCTCTTTTATAACAAATGTCTATATCATGGATTTATTTGTGCTTTAACCCTCGCATGTGTGCGGCGTTTGCCAGCTTCTAATGTGTAGGGGGGGGGGGGGTCGGTTGGACCCCCCCCTTGCCGTTTGGCCCCTGATCGAGCTAGAGCTTCGCGAAAAAAACGAGCGTGTTGCCCGTGACGAGAGGAAGCCGATGATACCCAATTTTAAGGTCCTAGGTCATTGGTTGACCTTCCAGGTCAGGTCAATGACCCAAAGTCGGGAAAATCGGGACCTGTTAGAAAGTCGTAAAGTGTGGCTGCTAAGGGGTTTTTCGGGGTGCTGATCACGAATATCGTGTTAGTTTTGATCACAGATGATGTCTTGAAGCATTTAGACCTGGTCGGGTCAGGTCAGGTCAGGTCAACCAGTAGGCGTCGTGACGGGTATTCGTAGTACGTGTCAACTGCCTCTGACAGCTTCGTAACATGTTACGAAGTCACCAAAACTACTTCGTAAATGTTCAAATGGTTGCTAAATTCGAATTCAGCTCCAAAAACTAGCCTACAAACATGTAAAACTCGAAAAAGTGACCCGAGGTCAACCGAGGTCACCAAAGGTCAATGACCTGACCTGACCTTCAGGTGACCTTGACACACACGGGAGTAACATCAAATAACATGTTTGAACGTTTGAAACCACGAAAAGCTTGCAAGCACGCGGCTAGTGCGAGCTGACATACGCGAAATCGCGATTCCGGCCAAACATGG